GTAAAACGCAATACTACGCTCTTAGAGACTCAGAATTGTACTGATAAACCAAAACTATGAACTAAAACCGATTCAATGGAAACCTATCTTCAAAAAATATAATAAAAATCAATAACCTGGTCAAACTGAAAAGAAAAGAAATTTTACAACAAAATCGAATCGAAAATTTATCCTTTGTGTATGAAAAATTGCAAGTTGAGAGACAGGAGAGCTAAAAATTTATAATAAATCATTGGAAGTAACGAATTACAGGAAATTATTTAAATAAAATAATATCAAGGTTGAGGAAAATAATAAAATTATTTTTGTTGCAGTATTTATAATATTCGACTTGATAAATAATACTGTCTTCAAAGGGTTCGAAAACTTCACGAAGGACTTGAATCAACCAAACTATCCAGGAAAATTTATTTCACTAATATACATTTACTATTTTATTAACATTAATTTTTACTTAATATTATTTCATGTCAATTTTCACCACCATCGCTATAACAACGTCGAGTTGAAAAAAAAATTTCAAAAAACCAAAAAAGAATCGCAAAATATATACAAAATCATCTCCTTATTTTATTAATAATAATTCAATACTTCACAAATATTAATTCTCAATAATTTTTTAAGACCAATTTTCAAATTAATCGCTAAAGTAACAAACAACTTTAGAATAAATTTTTAACAAACAGGAGAAGCATAAAATATATATAAAACAATCCCTTCGTTTTATTAATAACAAATATTCCAAAACGCCAATTTTTCATCACCACTAAACCAACAAACAATTTAAAAATAAAATCGTAAAATATATACAAATATTTGTCATTATAAATAAAAGAATAATTAAAACATAATTAATAAAGTATCTCCCTCCTGTGCATCAAGAGAAGGAAAATTCTCACGCTTCCCTCGCTTCATGCCAACTCCATCGCCAAGCCTCGCCCGTAATGGCGGCAGAGATGGCGGAAGTAGTCTCTCGAGATCGCGATCGCTCTGTTGTACGCGTGACATATACGAGGAACCTCGTGCAGGGGAGCACGAATGACGATTATCGAACCGGCGATCGGCCTCGAGTAATTTGGCATTTAAACTTGACAATGGCCAGCCGAACGGCTGGACTTGAACGCGAGAAATAATGCGATACGCGTGCACGCACCATTATCCGTGCTTCTTATACGGTTATACAACCGATCACGCATATCTGCGCGCGTTGCTTCGCACGAAAGTGCTGCTCGGTCCGTCCACCGATCGCTCTCTCTTCCGTGGCAGTTCCCTTCGCCGCCGCCACCGTAGCCCTGGCGCTGCAGTCTGCCTAATGGCCGCCCGATCACGGCAGGCTTACCCGCGAGTCATTGCGTAACTGGAAACGATTTCGTATGTTTGCTCGGATAGTTCGAGGCTTGCATCGAAGTATTCGGGAATTAGTGACTTTCGATTTTTCGTGTTTTGCTACGCGCGCTTTGGAATCACTGGTAGAGAAAGGTGCGAAGCTGATGCTCACGTAAGACTTCGTTTGCAGGTTAGGATGCGGTACGTGTTATTGTTTGGAATCTTGTTTGACGTTCTCATTCGCAAGTTTTAATGCCAAGATTGCTTCTCCTTTCTCGCTTCGCAGGTTATTATTATTATTCGAAATTTCAGCGAACAGAGATATGAAATTTTTCGTAGACATTCAGGATGTTTTTAAAGTATCGTTATTTTCGAGCCTCCTGTAACTGTGTATGTAATAATTGGGGTACAAGACTTACAAAGAAAGCAAATCTTATTTTTTCACTTAAGTTCAGTGCATTTGCATAGGAATCATAAACTTGTGCAATTTTAATTCAATTAATTCAACAGATTCATTGATATACACTCATTGTCATAATCTTAGTCCTCAGGTCTACTGATTTCTTTCAAAACTCCCTTTTTTCAATACAAACGAAACAAAATAAAGAATACTATTCATAAACATAGCTGACTTATAGAAATTCCCTGATCTCAACATCAATAACCAAAATACATACAGGTGCACCCTAACCTTACATATACAGTAATAAATAACGAAAACAGGAAACCTAACTAACCTAAAACACAAAACAATTAACCTTGCACATGCCGTGTCGTCATAACCCAATTCTTAACCAGTGAAAGAAACAAAGCAGATACTGCGTATCCCAATTAACACGCGCCACGTCAAACCTATATAGCGTTCTACAGCGGAGAGACGTTTACTATTCTATTACCGTCCCGATAATCCATCCGCGATCCAACAGAAACGTAAGCTCCTTGCTCGTTACTCGGCAAACAGGATGCTGTCAGCCCACGTTGCAGTATCGCTTTCCGTGGCTCACGCTACTCGTTAACTGATTAACAACCGGTATTATAATTCATGCATCCGTTTCGACGGATGATGCAACGATTACGAAAGGCGCACACCACGTCTTTCGCGTGTTTTCCACGGGACGAAGGGACGTGGCTGGCTTCGATCGAAAATGCCCATTTTTCTCCTTCCCTTTCATTCCTCTCTTCCTATTTCTACTCCGCTTCCTTCGCAGCCGACTCGACACCGCGATACGGTTACCGCGGCGGACTGTACGCGCTGCTACCCCCACTCCCTCGCGCGCCCCCCACTCACGCGCCACGGTTACGCCGCGGACTAACGACTTTCACTTAGACGGCGGACTCACTTCCTGAATGCATAGACCAGTCGCGATTCCACGATCGAACTAGGAAACGCTCAGACGCGGGTTACGTAAAGTCCAGTTCGATCGGGCTTTTTCGATTGCGCAGCCTGAGCCACGGGCTGTGTTCAAGGACGATCGTGGGCTGTAACCAAGAGTCACGAAAGTGAAATTTCGCGGTAGTCGAATGGGATAGAGCAACGACCTGGATGGATTAAGCATTGAGTAATCCACGGGTAATTGGGAGACCGTGAAATCTCGTTTTCGAGTTCACCTTTCGGGGCATCTTGCGATGAGTCACAGGGTGGACTGTGGGTGGACTAGGTAGGTTTGTCATTAATGGTATTTTAGAGGTTTTTGGGGATGTTTCTTCGTGATGGGAATAAGAATTAATAAGTAATTGGGAACCTTATCAATTTGATGTTAAATACATTCGTAGTTTCTCTAGGGGAAAATATCGAAGTGTTTAGTATCTTTCTTTTGGGTCCGTTATGGGTGTATAAATGAGATTTATATTGTACAAGTAGAATTAGATAAATTAGGTCTCGATCAAATGATTAAATCATCTCAACACTCAACCCTAACTTCTCATAGACCCCTTGTTCTTCATTTAATCAGTCTTCATGATAGAGACTTATGAATTTGATACAGGTATACTCTACCTATGGCAACTACCAATCCCTAATTCGTAAATAGACTAATCACCAAACTCCAACCTAAATCACAGAAGATTCCATAATAGATACCTAAGGAACATCACAAAGAAGTTTGTCTTACCCAAATATAGCATCCAAGTTCTGCTCAATAGTCTAACACCAGTCCAAATTTTGAAGGCTCCTTAGATAGACACCTAAAGAACATCAGGTAGAATCTTATTTTTCCCAAGTATGTCATCCAGATCCTACTTAAAGACCTAACTTCAGCCTAAACTCTGAAGGCTCCCAAGATCCTTCAGACTTAAGAAACGTCAGAAAGAATCTTGTTTTTCCCAAGTATGTCATCCAAATCTTACTTCAAGACCTAACTAGCTTCAGTCTAAATTTTGAAGGCTCCCTAGATAGACACCTAAAGAACATCAGGTAGAATCTTATTTTTCTCAAGTATGTCATCCAAATCCTATTTAAAGACTTAACTGCTTTTAGTCCAAACTATGAAGGCTGTCAAGACAGGTACCTAAGGAACATCACAAAGAATTTCATTTTTGTCACTTATGTCATCCAGATCCTACTTAAAGACCTGTCTTCAGCCCAAACTATGAAGACAGTCAATATAGGTACCTAAAGAACATCACAAAGATTCTTATTTTTCCCAAGTTGCCACCCAGGTCCTACTTAAAGACCTAACTGTCTTCAGTCAAAACTATGAAGACAGTCAAGATAGGTACCTAAGGATTATTCTAGTCACCAACTCGATGCTTCACGCACAGCAATGATCCCTAATCTAATCACTGCCAATTCCCTTCTACTCTATCCAAATACGGACTCCGCAACAAAGGCCTGACTTTCATCGCGAAGACTCTTCCTCCACGAGACGTAAAGAAAAAATCCACTCCCATCCACTCAGCTAACCTCCAACTATCCGTACGAAAAAGACCATGCGAGTTGACGTCGTAGTCCTATTTTGGTATCACGGCTAGAGCTCTTTGTGCCACATTTTATACGCCGCGCGATGATTCAAACGGAACGAGGTAGGCGTGAGCCCGTAGGAGTGTAGGTCAAACCGAGAGAGGGAATACACGTCGTCTGTCGTGGCGGAAGCGAACGAAACCGAGGGTGAAAACGCGTGGGAAATTATGCATCCCTGGTCTCGCAGCCCCCGATTTCAGGACCGTCCGCTGGGCCGGCGCTAGAAAACCTGGCCAGTCGTTTTCGATCGTCTGAACCGCCCACGTTTC